CCCCCCCTCCGCCGCTTACCCGCCTCCCGTCTCCTTCACACACGCACACACGCACACACACACACACACAGGACTACCGCTTCCAGGATACCCGCTTCGTCGTGCTGGAGACGGAGCTTTGCAAGTGCTCACTCAGTGACTACCTTTCTCGTCACGGGCCACTCAACGAGGAGCAGGCCCGTCTGACAACGATCCAAATCAGTGCGCCTCTCCCGCCACCCTCCTTCCCACACCTTCTCCTCCCCGTGTTAACTCTCTCTTTCTCTCTCTCTCTCTCTCTTCCTGTGGGCGGACTCTCCACCTGCCCTTCTTAGTTGACGGCCTCTCGGCTCTACACAATGCCAGCCTTGTCCATCGCGACCTGTCACCGAAGAATGTCCTGCTGTCCCGTAAGCACCCCTACGAGCCGTATAGCATCCGCTTGGCGGACTTCGGCCTGGCGCGCCTGCTTGAAGATAAAAGCCTCATCGCCTCGAACATGGGCGATTGCCCGATGACCGTGGCCGGCACGCCGCTCTACATGGTACGCACACGGCGGGCCCCCGGCCGGGGAGACCCCCCCCGGCCATGCTTTGTCCCCTTTCCCCCCGCCCTCTGCCCCACCGGTGCCCATGCTGACGCCACTCTCTGCTGCATCTTCCTGCGCCCCGCCCGTTTGCTGGGGGGGCATGTCCTTCAGGCGCCCGAGGTGGCTTTCCAGAATTACACGCTCAAGATCGACATCTGGTCCGTCGGGTGCCTGGTCTTCTTCATGCTCACCGGCGCGCATTTGATGGCCACCTTCCGCGATTTGGCCCTCAACTTCCAGCTGCTGAATTCCCTCAAAAAGCGCATGGACATCCGGCCCATCCTGGAGGAGATCCAAAGCAAGACCCATGCGGCCATTGACAATCTGGCGGCCAGCCCGATCGGTGCTTCGCGGCAGGTGCAGAATTTCCTCCGCCTGACGCTGAATGTGCGGCCGCTCTTCCGGCTGTCGCTGCCCGAGGCGGCCATCAACCAGTGGCTCCTGGGGGCGGAATATGCGGCCCTGGCCACGGAGGCCAGCGGCCTGCGCATGGAAGAGGTGGAGTCCTTCATCGGGACATTGGTCAATCCTTCCTCGGCGGCCGGCGGGGGGAGGCCGACGGCTCCGGCGTCCACCTCGTCGGACCGCTCGGCGGCGGCCGCTGCTGGCGGGGCCGCCACGCCGGCGGCGGCCTCAGCCGGCGGAGGCCCGACCGGGCCCCATGTGCCCGGTGCCTCGGCATCCAGGTCGTCGGCCGGGGCCGATGCCACGGCGACGGCCACGCTGGCCGGCTCGGGCACTTCCCCGGCGCAGCCGATCCCCTTCCCCCCGTTGGCCACCGGACCCGGGCATCCCGGGGCCGATGCCGGCAATGGTGGTGTAAGTGGCGCGGGGCCGGGCCATGCGCCGAACTTCGCTCCCCGTGGCCGGACCAGCTCCATCCCGCGGACAAATGTCTTCCGCGACATCAGCTCCGGGACCTCGCCGCCGACGCACTTTGGCGGATCGGCCGCCCTCATCGGGGGCATGGGGTCGCATCCGTACACCGCCGGCGGGGGCATGTTCCACCACCAGCACGCCGGGGCGCCCCAGGGGCCACCGGCTTCTGGCGTGGCCGATCCCCTGGTGGCCGATTGCTCGGCGGGGGCCGCCGGGCCCGGCGACGCGGCGGCACCGATGGCGACGCCATCCCTGGCGGGCGCCCTCCCGGGGGGGAATCCACCTGGGCCGGGCGATGTGCCGGCTTCCGGCTGGCCGTCCACCCCGCCGGCCTCCTCGCCCATCATGTCGCATGGCGATGAGCATGCCTACTCGGGGGATTCGCCGGATGATGGGGCATGCGATCCGGACTTCGTGGCCATCGACTACCCGGGCCCGGAGGCAGCCGATGATGGCGGTGTCGCCTCGGGGCCGGCCGGCCGGGGGAGAGATGGCAGCGGCGACGGTGGCAAGGCCTCCGGCATGGGCGGCCCGGTCATGGGCATGCCCTTCGGGTCGGAGCTTCTGCTGAGCCACCGCGACATTTCCCGCATCGACTTCAGCTCCCAGTACATCATGCAGGCCATCGTCACCATGGAGCGCCTGGCCGAGCAATGCCTGAGTGAGCAGTCCCTGGGCGACGTCGGGGCCGAGTATGCGCTGATTTTGTCGCACTGGGGGCGTGTCCTGGCGCAAAAGTTCGCCCCCAGCGGCGGCGAGCCCGGTATGTCTTTTTCCCCCCATACTCTCACGGTGTGCCCTCTCGCCGGCGCCGCGGCATGCGCATATGCGCCCGCGCCCGCGCGCCCACAATCACACAGCCACACACAGCCACACACAGCCACACACAGCCACACACACAGCCACACACAGCCACACACAGCCACACACACTGACACCCTCCTCCCTCCTGTCGGCCGGTTTCCTCTTGCACCGCGCCCCGTGTACAATGTGGCAGATCATATGCGCGTCCTCGGCCGGATCAACCACGATGCGCGGGCAATCTTGAACCGCGTGGCTCCGAGCGCCGTAGACCTGAGTGCGTCCGAGGCGGATCCCCTCCTCCGGTGCAAGGTGTTTGCCTATGTCTTCCGGCAGCTGGCCCGCCGGGCGGACGTCTACCGCTCGGCCCTGGAATCCATGCTCGTGGCCTGCCTATACCTGGATGCCTTCAATATCAAGCGCTTCCCGCAGCTGCCGCCGGGGCCTGTGGAGGAGTTCAACGAGCTCGTGGGGCAATTCCTCGCCAGCGCCATCTTCCGGCCTGGAAGTGAGGGGATCGCCGGCGGGTCGATGTTCTCCTCGTCGGTCGGCTCGCGCTGGGCCAATGGCGGCGGTGGGGCCGCCGGTTCCTCCCTCGGCGGCCGGGGCTAGGTAGTTTGAGCATTGCGCGTTTGTGGGCGCGCACGAGAGCGAGCGAGCCAGAGAAAGAGAGAGAGAGGGTGCCACCAGCCGCGTGCCATCATGTGGTGCAGGGGCGCAATTGGTTGCCGGTTCTCATGGTCTTCTCCGGCTTTCCCTGGTCCCCTCGTCCTGTCCATCGCGTCTCTTGCCCTCTGTGTCCCCGCCCCCTCTCTCCCTCTCCCCCCTGTGGGGGCGGGGGGGCGGGGTGGAGATCGGTCCCCCCCCCCCCCCCGCGCTCCGCGCACATCTTCTGTCCTTGTCATAGTCTGTAGTGCCAATGCACCCCCGAAACACATGATACTGTCCCGCGATTTTCGCTTCGCGCGCGCGCACCTTTTGCCGTTCGGCTTTTGCGCGCGCACGCGCGCCCACAGGCGAGGGGGCTGCGCGCCGCGGTCAAACGCGCCAGGTCGGCACAAGGTAGCGGAGGCCGGGCTGGGCTGGGGATGGACCATTCGGCTCGGGCGCGCGCGCGCGCGCGCGTGTGTCGGGCGCGGCCAGGCGACCACTAGACCCCGGGCGATTGCGCAGTCGGTGTGCATCGCCCCCCCCCCCCCGCCCCCCCGTCCCCCGGCCCTTGTCCTGTGGTCGTTGTCTCTCTCTCTGCTGCTCCGCTTCTTCCTCGGACCGAGGGTGCAAATGATCCCCCCCGGTCTGCGCGCCTCGGCCCATGCTCCCTCCCCGGCCTGGGATTGGTGTAGGGCCGACAAATACACGGGCTCGCGTCCACAACCACACCAATATTGGGGAAACGGAGCGGGGGGCGGCCGTCGGTTGGCCTCCCACCACATGCGTATAAAGGGGGATGGGCCATTAGTCCCGGGGGTCGCGCCCGACCCGCCAGTCAGAGTCCCCCTTCCCCCCCCCCCCTCCTCCCTCCCTTGTCCTTTTCCATCGCGCCCGCGCCCGCTCGCGCGCTTCAGCACCTCGCCCCCTCTTTCGCCCCTCGCCCGCACGCGTCCCTCTCCGCTGCACTCCCTGCCCGCACCTGCCCTTCCGTGCTGCACCCTCAGGCGCCCCGCTCGCCGCGCTCGAGCCTCCTTTCCCACCGCCGCGGCCCCCCACTGTCGCGGTGATGTCCTGTGCGCATTATGCTCTCTCTTCCTCTCTCCCTCTCTCTCTCTCTCACATACAGTCACATGTATGAAGAGTCCCCCCCCCCCCCCCCGGTGCAAGCTGACGCTTTGCTGACTTGCCATTCTTTGTGTCCCTCCCTCACTCCCTCCTTCCGCCGTTCTCCGCTGCTCGTGCGCAGCGTCCAAGCGCTCTGCCCTCCAGCTGGAGGACGACGACCACGGTCGGGTCGCCGACTTCGACAACGATGACGACTTTGTTGTCGGTCGCTCCCGGCGCAAGCGGGTGCGCCCTCGCCTGTCGCCTGCCGGCCTCGCGTCCCATTTGCCCTGCCATTGACCATCTCTCGACCTGCTTTTCCCATCCCTATTCCGTTTGCCGGCTCCGCAGACGGTTGTGGCCGACGATTTCCTAGACGCCGAGCTGGGTGCGCTTGTCCTTCCCCCCTTCGACTTTTGGCCACACCACTCTCCCTCCC